AATCAACTGTCATAAGAAAACTACCTACAAAAAAAGCCCTGGACCAGATGGCTTTCCAACAGAATTCTACAAGACATACAAGGAGGAGCTGACACCAATCCTGTTGAAATTATTCTGGATGATCAAGAAAGATGGAACTTTCCCCAAATCATTTTATGAAGCTAACATCACAATGATACCCAAACCAGGTAAAGATCCAACAAAGAAAGAGAACTACAGGTCAATATCCTTGATGAACTTAGATACTGAAATTCTCCACAAGATTCTAGCAAACTGGATCCAACAACACATCTCAAAAATCATCCACCATTACAAAGCAGGCTTCATCCCCAGGATGCAGGGCTAGTTCCACATCTGCAAGACCATGAGTATAATTAAATTTAAATCAACAGATGTAAAAACAAAAACCACGTGATTATATCATTAGATGCAGAACAAACTTTTGATAAAATTCTGGATCCCTTCTCGATAAAAAACCCTTGAACATCTAGGCATAGATGGGACATACCTCAAAATAGTAAGAGCCATCTACGAGAAACCCATAGCCAATACTGCTAAACCAACAAAAACAGGAACCGTTTCCCATGAAAACCAGAACAAGATAAGGATGCCCACTCTCCCCTCTCCTGTTCGATATAATATTGGAAGTCCTAGCTAGAGCAATCAGACAAGAGAAGGAAATCAGGAATATCCAAATAGGAAAAGAAGAAGTTAAGTTATCCCTCTTTGCAGACGACATGATTCTGTTTCTTGAAAACCCAAGCGGATTTGTCCAAAACCTCCTTGCACTGATAAGGACTTTGGCAAAATCTGAGGGTATAAAATATATGTGCAAAAGATAATCAAGCCGGGCTCGGTGGCTCAGCCTGTAATCATGTGCCTTTGGGAGGTTGAGGTGAGTGGATTGCCTGAGCCCGCGGGTTCGAGACCCGCCTGGGCAACTTGGTGAGCCCTCATCTCTACAATAAATCAGAAATCAGCCGGGTGTCGTAGTGCATGCCTGTAGTTCCAGTTACTTGGGAGGCTGAGGCGGAAGGATTTCCAGAGCCCAGCAGGTCGAGGCGGTGGCTGGGAGCGGCCTCTGCACTCCAGTGTGGGTGACAGAGTGAGACTCCAACTCAAAAAAAAAAAAGATAATCACATTCCCATACACCAACAATAAACAAACAGAAACCCAAAAAAAAAGCACACACTCATTCATAATAGCCACAAAAAATGGCATCTTACTAACCAGAGAAGTGAAAGACCTTTACAACGAAAACTACAAACCACTGCTCAAAGAAATCAAAGATGACACAAACAAATGGAAAAATGTCCCATACTCATGGATTGGAAGAATCAACATTGTTAAGATATCCATCCTACAAAAAGCAGTCTACAGATTTAATGCAATGCCCATTAAATTACCAGGAGCATTCTTCTCGAACCTGGAAATGACAATATAGAAATTCATATGGAAACATAAATGACCACGAATAGACAAAACAATCCTCAGCAAAAAATAACAAAGTGGAAGGTATCACACTGCCAGTATTTAAACTTTATTATGAAGCTACAATAATCAAAACAGTCTGTAATTGGTACAAGAACAGGCATATAAACCAATGGAACAGGATAAAGATTCCAGAAGCAAAACCTCAATTTCTCAACCAACAAAACCTCCACCATCAACCACTGGGGAAAGGAGAATTTATTCAGTAAATGGTGCTGGGAAAACTGGCTGACCACATGGAGAAGGTTAAAACAAACCCCTACCTATCACCATACACAAAAAACAACTCTAAATGGATCAAAGACCTAAATGTAGAACCTCAAACTATCAGAACCTAAGAAAATGCAGGAGACACCATATGGAAATTGTAACTGGCAACCAATTCCAGATCAAAACCTCAAGTGCTCATGTCATAAGAGATAAGATAGACAAGTGGGACCTCATCAAACCGAAAAGCTTCTGCCAAGTGAAAGAAACTATCAAGAGAGCAGGGAGACAGCCCACAGACTGGGAAAAAATATTCGCCAACTCTCTACCTGAAAAAGGTCTAATATCTAGGATCTACAAGGAACTCAAATGTGCTGAAAAGAAAAAAACAAACAGCCCCATTATAAAGTGGGCAAAAGATATGAATAGACACTTCTCAAAAGAAGACATATGACCCTAACCCTAACCCTAACCCCTAATCCCTAACCCTAACCCAGATACTTGAAAAAATATTCAACCTCACTAGTCATCAAAGATATGCAAATTAAAACCACACTGAGATACCAACTAATTCCAGTCAAGATGGCCATCATCCACTCGAAAACAACTGATGCTGGTGAGGATGTGGTGAAAAGGGAACACTTCTACATTGTTGGTGGAAGTGTAAACTGGTGTAACTTTAGTGGAAAAAAGTTTGGCGACTCCTAAAAGATCTAAATATCGACCTTCCATACGACTCCACAATTCCCCTATTGGGAATATACCCAAAGGAACTGAAATCATTCTATGAAAAAGATACTTGCACATGCTGCCCATCAAAAGAGGACCGGATAAAAAAAAAAAAATGTGGTACATATACACAATGGAATATTATGCAGCCATAAAGAAGGGCAAAATTTTGAACTTTGCAGCAACTTGGATGGACTTAGAATCTATAAAACTGTGTTATCTATCACAAACAAAGAACTGAGGACCACATGTCCTCACTCATAAGTGGATCTTGAACAATTATAGTAATACTATAGGAAAGGGATTGGCAGTAGTGGGAAACTGCGTGGGGAGAGAGGGGCAGGATTGGCAATAGTGGAAAACTGCCAGGGAAGGGAGGTAGGATTGGTAATAGCGGGAAACTGCCAGGGGAGGGTGGGGAGGGATGGCAATAACAGGAAACTGCCAGGGGGCAGGGAGCTCATCTCGTCAGCAAGGGTACCTGCATAATGAACATTAGTATACCTAACCCCGAATTATACTCCACATCTTTAAAATTAAAAAAATTTTTAAAAAGGAAAACTGCCAAAATTTTTAAAAAATTGTTGCAAATCTCCAAAAAGTTTTCCAATGTATTTATAGAAAAAAAATCTATATATTAATGAACCTGTGCAGTTCAAATGTGTTTTTCAAGGGTCAACTGTAATTGTTTTTGAGCCAGATTGAATAGGACTCAAGAAGTCTTGAGTCACATCTGGAAGGTGATCAGTCGAAGTAGGATGGTGGTGAACCATTCAAAAGCTGGAGAAGGGGTGGTGCTATGGTCCGAATGTGACTGTCCTACAAAATTCATATGTTGAAAGCCTAAACTCCAAAATAATGGTATTATGTAGCAGGGCCTTTGGGAGGTGATTAGGTCATGGGAGTGGAAGCCTCATGAATGGATTTGTGCCTTTATATAAAACAGCCTTGAGAGAGACCCCTCATTCCTTTCATCATGTGAGGACACCACAAGAAGATACCATCTATGAACCAGGAAGTCTTCTCCAGACATTGCATCTGCCTTATTTTGAACTTCTCAGTTCCAGAACTATCAGCTTATAATCTATGCTGTTTATAAGCTACCCAGTTTATGGTATTTTGTTATAGCAGCCCAAAGGAACTAAAACAGGTGGGGATGGAGGAGGGAACATTTCTGCAGAGGGCTGTACAAAAGAGCCCCCAGCATGAGAACTCGCCAAAGGACTTACACAAATGTCCCAGGAGATAGTCACTCCTAGAAGGCCCAAATGCCAGATCACAACCTGAGAGTTTACTAGTAAAAAGAAAAAAAGCTTTTCAGCTCTTCACCTCTCCTCCCTCCCACTTTCATCTTTGTTAACCTAACAGAGGTCAGTGAGGGAGGAGCTGGAGCAAGACAGTAAAGAAATCCCCCATACTGCTATGCCTTCTCCAAGTTTGAGTCTAGATCAGGCCAGAACAGGAGGGAGCAGAGAAATTTTTAAATGAAAGAAAGTTTAGGGTTTGGATATCAGAGTAGAGTTTTAATTTTCTGAATATAACCAGGAAAGCTATGAGATCTGCTTATAATTTCATCCAAGGGTGAGGAACAGCAAATCAACAGAATGGGTCAAAAACGGGAGTTGAGAGAAAGAAGAAAATTATTTTCTGCTTACCTGGCAACTCCAAGATGCCAATAACATACATTTGAAATTTAGACAAAGACTTTCTGAGTATCCTTTAAAAAGCCTAAATTGATTAACATGCCATCAATAGCATGTGAGGGTATTAACCTTTCAACATATTTGTCATTATTGATATTGTTTGAACAATATCTCATGCTTATTGATGAATTCTAGTTAAATTTTTGTAAATTGCCTGTCCACGCACTTATCTATTCCATTAGGTTGCTTATATTTTTCTTGATGATTAGTAAGTGCTCTTTATGCTATCTGTTATGTAATCTGAATATTAGGAGAGATTAATCAGGATACAAATGGCAAAGCATTCACCTGATGCTGCAAAGCAGTCTAATTATCTACTACCCTGACCAAATTTCAGAAGTTGCCAAAAGTACAGGTTGCTTATAATCCTCAGAAGGAAATAAAATACCTAGCTTCTTTCTGGGGTAGTATAATTGTGGCAACAGAAGGAAAGATTAATAGGAAAAAGAGCAAAGGAACAAAGTTCAAAATCTGACCTTCCACTTGGAGTTTCTCTCCCTAATCTTAAAATTGTATCTCAAGCTTATATTGTAAATGTAGTGACATTTCCCACTCGGTACCCTCTCCATCTTTCCACAGGTATGTTCTGCCTAAAGAAGAGAGAAAGATCTATCTTGACTCATAAAAGACTATTTAAACAATAGGAACATGAAGAAGCACTGGCTAAGTCAGCACATTAGGATAAATTCCAGAGTAGGCCCATAAGTCCACTGATGGGGAAATGGGTCTCAAGAACTAGTCATGAGGTAATTAATCACGAGTAATCAAAGAGTAAGTTCTTACTCCTGGCTAAAAGAAAAGGCAGTTCATTTCAAGATAAAAGCGTGTGCTTACTAAAAAGAGTTCATACCCACCCGTGCCCCACATACATTTTTTTTGGTCCTCTTCACTCTTGTAGGAATGAAGTTTCTCAATCAGATGATTTGGAAGCAGCTTGTGCAGGTTAGACAGCATCTCAAAAGTGTGACAGAGAACTTCAGGCTGGGCATAGTTTTTCGGTTCTTGACATTTATAAAGTGGTGGAAATTTCAACATACTAGAATTGTTGCTGGCTGTTTCCATGATGACCTACTGAGTTACAGAGAAGAACAAATCAAGAACATGATGAATGAACTCCCTTGCAATTGTTCTTCCTCCAAGCTTTCCTCCTTCCCAAGAGGGTAAACATGGACCCTACTTTCTGATCTCTGACTGCTTCGCATTCTGAGAGTCACAATGGAACAGATACTGGCTTAGAACCCTGAGTGCTCATCCTGCATCTTCAAAGCAAAGGAAGCCACCTCATTAAAAATATTCTGCCAAGTCTCTCAGGGATTTTTGGCAGAAACTCCAGTTTTCTGTCTGGACATAGACAATTTCTGAGGAAAACAGAGGGCTTTCCTAAAGGGAAGAGGGAAAGCCACCGTACACACATCCAGTGTTACTTTTCCATCTGGCACTTTGTAGAGGCCTTGCATGCTGCGTGCACATAATTAAGGCCCATGGACCTATGAGGCCCTGAGAGAGAATGGTTGTATCAGCACTGTCCTCACCAGAACCAAGGAAAGAGCTCTATTGTCCAAAACTGAGGAAATGTCAAGATTAACACAGGTAAGAAGCCAAATTGTTTCTTATTCTCCTCTCCAAACTAACAGGAAACAAAGTAAAAAACAAAAATACTGGCAGGGCGTTGGTGACTCAGGAGACTGAGGTGAGAGGATTGCCTGAGGCTGAGGGTTTGAGACCAGCCTGAGCAACTTGGTGAAACCTCGTGTCTACAATAAATCACAAAAACTAGCCAGGCGTGGTGGTGTGCATCTGTAGGTCTAGCTACTTTGAAGGCTGAGGCAGAAGGATCACCTGAGCCCAGCAGGTCGAGGCTGCAGTGATTGTCAGTGTGTCATTGCACTCCAGCCTGGGTGACAAGAGTAAGACTCCAACTTGAAAAAAAAAACCCAAAAAACAGCTTTCAACTCTAGCTTTCCTAGTAAAAAGCCACTCTTCATTATAGACCAAAGACCAGAGGATGATAGAAGTACTAAATAATAACAAACAACCATACTTGAGCTGCCAAGAACTACTCCCAGATTTGGGATAAAAATACAAATAAGAGAGTTAATTATAGCTGCTCCTTAATGTCAGCATGCTCCATTAGTGGTGCCAGCTTCCTCATAATTTATCTTGATGAACCTGCTGGGTAACCACACTGCAGAATAGTGAGACGCAGAGAGGGCAGGTGAGCCCAGCACGCTATAGCAAAAGCTGGTGTTGGTGAACAGCTTTTTACCAAACTTAAAAACTTTTGGCCAAGATGATGAAAGCATCATGATTACAGCATATGATACATGAATGTCCAGAGCAGCAGATATAAAATCTCATTTCTTAATTTTTAACATGCAAACTTGAAAAGTAAAACTTTAAAAAATACACAAAAAGGTATACTTTAAATGAAAACATTTAAAATATGTTACAGAACTAACAAGAACCAGGTCGGGCGTGGTGGTTCATGTCTATAATCCCAGCACTTTGGGAGGCCGAGGTGAGAGGATTGCCTGAGCCTATGGGTTCAAGACCAGTCTGGGCAACTTGGCAAGACCTCATCTCTTAAAAAAAATTAAAAAGAAAAGGAAAAAAAAAGAACTAACAAGAACCACTTCAATACACTGTGATTCTTATAATTTTATGGGTGTTTTTGGAGAGAGAAAGGAATTGGTAGGGGTGAAGGAGGTAGAATATTCTGGTATCTGAAAGACACATCCCTGGTTCTTTCTTCCAAGCTATGTTGAGTGTATTCCTTTAAACCCTCATTTATAAAAACAGGAAAGAACAAACCATGTTTCAAGTCATTCAGTATGCTAAGGAGATGACCTATTGAAATGTGACTCTTAACTGTTACCCACATCTTTAAAATAAAATAAAATAAAATAAAATGTGACTATTTACACTCCATATAAATTGACCCACGTGTTCTTAATCGTTGCTCTAAATAGCAAACAACTGGGAATGTTTCTAGTTATTTGAAGCATGTTGACCTTGGCCGAAATGAAAAGCAGGTTACAATTATTAAATTTTATTTTAAAATAAACCATCAGATAATTTTATTTCTGCAATGAGTAATGTTTCTTCTAGGAATCAACATCCTTCATTTTTTCTAACTTGGTGTGCACATTGTTTAGAATGGGAGTTAACTGTCCTGAATGAAGGCTGGCAAATATTCTGCTGCTAACTAGCTGTGTGATCTTGATCTGAGCTATCCAGGCCTCAGTCTATGGTACCCATTTTCTTTGATGGAACAAATGCTTTCATTTTGTATCTTGTTCTGTATTCCTCTTATCTCCAATTCTATCCTTCGATGACGAATATATTTACCTTTGCAAAACCATGTTTTTAATACATTATTATTTTCTTCCCAAGAAGAGATTAGGGAGAGTTCTTCCAAGACAGCGTGATGTTCTTGCTGTGTTGAGAGTTGCTAGGGCCAGGAGCCTGCTTAGGTGCTAGCAGTATGCTGTTGACTAAGTTGTTCCCGCAGCGTAGCCACTGGAGGGCTCTGGGTTGCTTTCCTAGTTAGGCTTATCTTTTATTCACAACCTTAGGTAAAAGGCAGTTCCTTTTCTATCCCTAAGAGGGCAACCATGTCTCCTGAGCACCTTTCTCTGACCCCCTGCCATGGTGGATGTAACAAGATCAGCCGGCTTCCAGAAGGCAAGGTGTTCAGTAATGTTCAGAGAGAGAAGATCATCTCCAGGTTTCTTAAAGAAAGTGTTCTAAAGAGAGTGTTCCGTTCACAGCAGATGAGGTGGGAGGGTCCCCACAACCAGAGAGGGGATCCAAGCTACATGTTACCTGGCACCAGAAAGTAAGTTGTGATACTGAAACTGAAACCAAAAATCAAAGTGGATTGGGAATATAAGGCTAGAAAAACGTAACTATAGAGTTTGGGCATTTGAAAGATGGGAAGATTTAGGAAGCAATTCAAACTGCAGAAATCTAGTCTTAAATCAAAATAAAGGAGAAAACATATGATTGAGAATTTATTCAAAAGTGCTAGCTGCAACATATGCAGATGTATAACTTACTGATATATGTGCTTATCTTGCTTCCTTTTGGAAATATGTTCATATGCATCGCTATCACATTCATTCTAGGAATGAAGAGTTTTTAAACAAGATTTCTTATGTTTTTGGAACAAAACAGGGGCCTCTCAGATAAGGTATTGCTGTAGAAGCAAAGTGTTAAAAATTAACTTTTAAAATTTTAAATTAGAAATATTTCATAGATATTATTAAAAAAGAATTATACAAACATAAGATAGTTGAATATTTAAGATGAATGCTCACGGAAATAGAATCCTAATTCAGGATAGATATAATTAGCCGCTGCTGAAAGACAAAGCAGTTGCTGGGAATAGAAAAAAGAGAAAGAAAAAAAGACTAGATAGCCAAACCAAATGCTAAATACACGTTGTCCAAAATGAATTGAAATGTTTCTCACTGACTTAGCATCTTATTTGAGAACAAAAATGCCTATTATTGATTAGAAAATATTGTCCTGACTCTTGAAAATGTTTATATTTTTACCACATTAAACAAGATTCTGCTGTAGTACATGACCAGCCATGATCTTGGCAATACTGAAGGGAAAAATAAAGGGATATGGGAACAAATGCATGCGTAATACCAAAACGCGAAAGAGACTGAAAGAGGTGGACTGAAATAGAAGTGTTTTCCCTCTAGAATAATTAGAAACTAAGAAATGTTGCTACTGACATCTCTTTGCATAACCCAGGACAATGGAAGGAATGTATGTTAAGGTATTGTTGAAGTTCAGAAAATAACACCCCAAAACGAAAGCCTCAATAACAGCCTCAGAAGCAAAAGTTTTACTCTGATTTTCTCTTGCCCTTCTGTCTTTCAGTCCCATTCCCCCCTAAGGCTATCCACAAAAATTAAAATCCTTCGCCAAAGCGGTTGTAGAAAACAGAATCCCTTTTCCCCAAAGCAAGTCATAAAACCTAAAAACATTACTGTAACTTTCCCTCCATCTTTCTGTGTAAAAACAGGCCATAAAGAAAGACTCCAACTCAAAAAAAAAAAAGAAAAAAAGAAATTATCTGGCCAACTTGTTTGATTTTAAGTCATATATTCCCATTCCAGAGAGGGTCCTGCCCTTTACCCAGAAGGAAGGCATGCTATTCAGAGAGACCAAGAAGAATCTAGACAGACAGGCCTTGCTGGGTTTCCCCCTCAGTCTATTAACATTATTAGATCATACTCTTTCTGTCTAATCATATTTCTACACAGCTGTCCAGACTTTGTTGAACCTAAGCATAAAAATGGATAATTTCTGTTGTATCTTCTTCATTCTGACTCAAACATGTCACCATTTGAGAGCTGATTTTTCAGCAAAACTTCAGAGGGCCCTCATAGTGCTTTCCCAAAATAGTTATGTAGTAGTCGATACTGTCACCTCTGTCATAAGAGGAGAAACCAAGTGGGCCGTGAGGCATGCTTACTGGACTTATTAAGTGACTGGCTTACCCTCTTTTCCTTCTATTTAGACTACCTCCTTTATAATTAACGTAAGAGCTTGCTAAAGGCCATGAGATAGAGGGCATCTACTTATCCTACTTCATTTTTGAAATAATGATTTTTTCACTTGGGATTAGCTAAAGGGGTATAGTTTTAAAATAAGGCAATCTTGAGGTTACCACTAAAAACTGAACCCTGGGTATAGCTGTGAGCTGGCCAGCAGGAAGATGCATTTTCCTGGGTCAAGGGTGAATGTTACAGCTGAGCTACTGTGGGAAATGACCCACTGTCCAATTCCCAAGACTGAGCTAGAGTCAGGCCAGACCCCAGGGTTTGGAGAGGGTACCATTCTCCTAGTTGTTTCCCTCACACACACCACAACCTTTCCCATTTGGTGACGAGGACGAGGCCAGCCATCGTGTTGACGCTGATGTCAAAGCATTCAAAAGTCTCCAGAGAGGCCGGGCACGGTGGCTCAAGCCTGCAATCCCAGCACTTTGGGAGGCAGAGGTAAGAGGACTGCCTGAGTCTAGGGGTTCAAGACCAGCCTGGGCAACTCGGTGAGACCTCATCTCTACAGTAAAATCAAAAAATTAGTTGGGTATGGTGACACATGCCTGTGGTTCCAGCTACTTGGAAGGCAGAGGCGGAAGGATCACATGGGCCCAGCGGGTTGAGGCTGCAGTAGTGGTGAACTTGCCACTGCCCTCCAGCCTGGGAAACAGTGAGACTAGGACTCAAAATTAAAAATTAAAAAAAAAAAAAAAGTCTTCAGAGAAAGAAAGAACAGTCAAGTGAGGATGATAATGGGAAAGGAAGACTTTTAAAAATTATTTTTTTATTTACAACCCCATGAGTCTGTAGGGAAAGGAAGATTTTTAGAATGTTATATCAAGAAAAATAAAGAATCCTAGAAGATGTGTTTATGGAAGACAAATCTCCAGAGGGATTCTCAGGAGTCAGGAATCAGTTCAAGTTCTGACACAAAAGGAAAAAGCATGAACAGCACATAAAGCAAGGAAGATGAGAGATGTGCAAGCCAGATCTATGGAATTCACACACATCTCTGTTTCAAGAAGGGAGACAAATTTCCCAGCTGGATATATTTATAGAAAGTGTTAACTGGGAATACATGAACCCCACCCAATATTTATTCCAATTCACTATTTTTCAAGTAACTATAAGTTGGGAAAAGTTACTTAATATATCTAAGGCTCAGATCACTCATTTATACAATAGGAATAACTAGTAGTAAGTACCTGCTTCACTAGTTGTTAGGAGTTTAAACTGGCTAATTCGTATAAAATGTCCAGCAATATACCTGGCATATAGTAACCACACCATACATTCTAGCAAATATTATTCTTGCAGTAATTAAATTAATTCAAACATTCATTGAGTACTACAGTACCTACCAGGCACTCTATTATGTAGATTAAGGGCAGAGCTCAGCTTCAAGGTGTTGAAAAGATAGTGATTACAATATTGTAAGTGAATATTTATAATGCAACTGAGTTAGAGATTAGAAATAAAACATTATAACTTGAAATAGAAATTTTGGAGAATCCTGAGTAGTCAGGAAAGATGACTTGTGAGCTAGAACTGACTAGAATTTACCTAGGTAAGTGGAAAAAAGCAGACACTATTATAGGAAAAGTGAAAAATGATGTATGTCCTGAAGGAGAGTGTTTAGAAAAATTGTAAAATATCTGATGTGCTTGACTTGTCGTAGGCACTGGGAGGGTGATGAGCAGAAGTCTCAAGGCTGGCTGCAGAATTTGACTTTATTCTTTAGGTGCTGGGAAGGCATTTGAGCAGGTCTGCTGAGAGCCCAAGAGGAGAGGGCCTAGAAGGGAAACCTCCAAGGAGGCTGCAAGGAATAAGGCCTGCACAAATCTTACTTATTCACCTACTGAGTGTAATTCTACTACATGTCCCACACAGTTTTAAGGTGATGGGGTAATGAACCAGACAGCCAAGGCCCCTTCCTCATGAAGTTTTATAGTCTCCTGGGAAGACATAGACAATACAAAAGCAAGCAAGTAAACAAGATTAAGAAGATTGTGAGGAATACAAATAAGTAAATAAAAAGGGTGTTGTGGTGGGAAGGTCTTGTTCAAAGAGAAGGGAAGGAAAATGGAAATGAAAAGGAAGGAGACAAGAGTGGGAGATCAAAGATCTGAGAAACCCTTGAATTGTGTTCAACACTTGGTATATATGTGCATTTTTCTGGGAACATTCTCAAAAGGAATGGTAATGATCCCATCCCCCTAGATGTTAAGAAGCTGTGTTATTTAGATGCTTACTGAAACATTTGGGGGTTTGAATCTAGAGTTGGGTGTTCAACCAGACAGAGCACAGTAGTATCATCAGCAAAGGATTGCAAAAATTTATTCCTTTAATGTCAATGCTGTATTATAAAGAACATAATTATTTTCCATAAGGAACATAACTGACAAACATTTTTAGTACCCATTTGCTGTACTTACATATATAAGCTTTGTTTATCTCAAATCTTTATATCAAACTGATGTGGGAGAAGATCTATCTATTGGGGGGACCCCCCCCAAAATAAACGGAATTATTTTTTGGACAGTGGGCCCCTTGTAGCACAGGCTTCCCTGGCTAGGTAAAGTGTTCTAAGAACCCATGGACATCAGTGTGCCAGCTGGCGTGGTTGTGAGAGTCTGCATCTGGCTTCTTTGAATCTTGTGGGGGAGCGCACCTACACACACCATGTTGAGTGTTCAGCAGTTTTTGACCAAAAATGGCACGATCCTTGTGCCTCCCCCCTCCCTCTTCACCTGGTCTTGCCCCGAGCGACTTTGTTGTTTGTTTGTTTCCTCGGATGAAAAAAGTCCTCAAAGGGAAATGTTATACACAAGTGGAAGAGGTGAAACCAAAAATGGCAGAAGCACTAAAAGGCATCAAAATTGATGAGTTCAAAACTGACTTAAGCATTGAATAAAGTCTCAATAGGTGTATTGCATCAAACGGAGAGTACTTTGAAGGTGACTGAAGTTTAAACACGTAAGAATAAATACACTCGTTTTTATAAATAATGTCCGGTTTTGGGGGTCCCCTCTCTTATCTGCGCAGATCCAGATATAGAGATATAGATATATCCTTCCTCCTCCCTTCCACTTATTTCATGGAGCTATAACAAGAGATATGCATTTGGGGGTATAAAATTGTGCTCTTACGATCTAAATGTATCCTAGACATGAAAAAAAAAAAATCAGCGTTTGCTCTTCCTATTGCAAGATCCACCGCGAACCTGAAACTGACCAGAGGTGGGCTTGCTCTTAGCAGGAATACCCCTTCGTCTACTTTAATTATTTAATGTATTATAAGCATAGATACTACTTTACATCTATCTAATTTTAGCTTAGTCTGGAGAAGTACTGGGCAAAGATACTGGCTGTGTTTGAACAGGCGACGGGAGTAGATGCCCCGGGCCAGGCCCTTGGTGGGGGGGTGGGGGGCTACTGACCACCACGGGGCCTTCAGCCGGCAGACCCGAGGAAGTCGGGGAGGCCTCGGGGAAGGCAGCCCAAGGCTCGGGGAAGCCAGAGGCGGCTGGGGAAAGCCAGGGGGGCTCAGGCCTG